GGAAAATTTTATAGGACGGCAATAAGGTCGGCGATGCTGTATGACACAGAATGTTGGGCGGTGAAGCACCAACACGTACACAAAATGGGTGTAGCGGAGATGAGGATGCTTCGTTGGATGTGTGGGCACACGAGAAAGGATAAGATTAGGAATGAGGATATCCAAGGTAAAGTAGGAGTAGCCGAAATTGAAGGAAAACTGAGAGAAAATCGGTTACGGTGGTTTGGACATGTGCAAAGAAGGCCTACTGACGTTCCGGTTAGAAGATGCAACTACGGGACAAAGGTTCAGGGCCGAAGGGGTAGAGGAAGACCTAGGAAAACTTTGGAAGAGACTCTAAGAAAAGACTTAGAGTACTTGGATCTAACGGAGGACATGACACAGGATCGAGCACAATGGCGTTCTAAGATTCATATAGCCGACCCGACTCAGTGACTTGGATTTTTCAAGTCTCCAATCGAGAAGTTTTCCCCACTCGGGAAATTAAGGGAACACTACCTCAACCTACATGCTCCACTCACAAAGCTTCAACATACAAGCTTCAACAAAAGAAAAATTCAAAGAACTTAGTGAAGATGGCTTTGGTGTATTTAACACAATACGTTGAAATGAAACAAAGCTTATTTATTGATATCTCTAAGAAGTTACAAATATGTACATATACAAGAGTCAAAATAAACAAACAAGAGGAAGCCTTCACAAAGGTTGCTTAGGAGAAGTCTCAGCGGTCGGCAGAGCCCTAGAAAGAGAAGGCACCAGAGGGGGATCATTCGGAGCCTCAGTACTGGACAGCACCCTAGAAGGAGGAGGCATCAGAGGTTGATCATTTGGAGCTTCATTACGCGGTACAGCCCCAGAAGACGAAGGCAATAAATGCCTTTGGAACAAACCCACAAACCTCTGATGATCATGTAAAATCTGACCATCAGATTCCTTCATCTGGTCAAGCTTCCTCTTCATGTTTGTAGCATAGTCATGAGCGAGCCGGTGCAACTGTTTATTCTCATGCTTGAGCCCTCTAATCTCCTGTTTGAGACTCATCACTTTAGCCGCCAATGATTCAACTTGGCGGGTTCGAGCAAATAGGCGTTGGGCCATATTAGACACAAAACCTGCACACTGAACACTAAGAGCCAGAGAATCCTTAACAGCAAACTCATCAGACCGTTTGGAAAGTAGTCTGTTATCTTTGGGAGTGAGAAGGTTTCTGGCCATCACCGCAGCGGTCATATCATTGTTCATCACGGAATCCCCAACGGTAAGATGACCAGTAGGGGATAAGAAGGATGGGCGCCATATGTTGTCTGGAGAAGGCGTGGCTGCCTCTTCAACAAGGTTCAAGTCAAAACGACGGTCGGAGAGGCCAGACATTTTCAAACGTGTTGAAGAGAAAAGAGGTTGGACAAATCAAGATCTTAGAAATGCAAGAATGGAGCTTCTACTGGTGGAGATTCAAGTGTGCTTTGGAACTTAATACCAGCCTCTATAAAAATCCGCACTCGATGGAGCTTTAGAAATCAAAGAGGCGCCTGCCCAGAAATCGAAAAGGCGTTTGCTTTCTCAAAAGCTGGGCTGCTCAGAGACCACGAGGGTCAATCTCAGGAATCGAATAGGCGTTTGCTTTCTCAAAAGCTGGGCTGCTCAAAGACCACGAAGGTCGATCGCAGAAATCGAAGAGGCGCTTGCTTTCTCAAAAGCTGGGCTGCTCAGAGACCACAAGGGCCGATCTCAGAAATCGAAGAGGCACCTGCTTTTTCAGCCTTGTCAGCACCTGTCACATGCACACTCAACTTTGCGGAAATTACGGGCATTCTGTTGAAGATTTCTAGTGAAGTAGAAAGCACGTGAATGTTACTATTCAATCATTCACTTTCCACACGCAACATCAGCTCACGGGTACCACAGATAACTTTGCCAAAAATCTCTGACAAAGTTTAGACACGTGAAGCTTGCAGCTCCCATTACATCGCTATGACCAAGAATGGTAAAAGAATAGCAAAGAAACAGCACTAACAAAGTTTGGACACATAAATTTTGAAGGTCTAGCTACCATATTATTACCCACAAGGGTAAAGGAACAGGACCATTGTTGGATAATTGGAAAGTCCCTGTGGGTCAACCTCTGTGCTCCGTGGCAAGGTAGACTAGCAAACAGGCCTAACCTTTACTTACATTCGAGAAAACACTCCCAACAAGATTGCTTGCTTCAAGATCGAAGAGGCACCGTCCTCCGAATCTCGAGAGCCAGACTCCCAACATGATTACTTTCTCAAAAAGCGACGAGACACCGCTCTCCGAATCTCGAGAGCCAGACTCCTAGCAGGATTGCTTTCTCAAAAATCGAAGAGGCACCGTTCTCCGAATCTCGAGAGACAGATCCCCGACAGGATTGCTTGTTCGAAAACCGAAGAGGCACCGCTTTCTCAACTTCGAGAGCCCCTTAGATAAAGCTTGTCTATAATCCTCACACCGTTTTCTCAACTTCGAGAGCCAGATCTCCTTGGATAAAGTTTGTCTGTGATCTTCACACGTAACATCAGCTTTCCAGATACCACAGACCACTTTTTCAAAGTGCTCTGACAGAGTTAAAACACGTGAAGCTGACAGCTCCCACTACCGTGCTATGACCAAGCAGGGTAAAAGAATAGTATTACTCCTTGTTAGGGAGACTCCTATATATGTCGACCTCCATCCTCAACGGACAGGCAGACCTGCAAAAATGCTCAACCCTTCCTCATATCTGAGAGGGCACTCCCAACGAAGCCTCTCGAAATACTCAACTTTCTTTCCCCCCGAGAATACCTCTGCAAACAAGCTACACTAGAGCAAGAATATCTCATATCATCAGGGTTAAAAGCAAGAGTATCCCATATCATGCTTTTTCCCTGTCTTTTCCTTTGGCCTTGTTCTTACCTGCAAGACAAGGAGAAAGAGAGCAATCAGTCAGCACTTGGAATCAAGCTTCCAGTTCGGAACTGACTACCTAGAACCCCATTGCTCTCGAGTACTCATCTTCAACATCTTATGCTTCCCGAGAAGATACCACATCTGCCTGAGGAACAAATAGGGCAAGTGAGAAGGATACAAGGAAGCATGTGGAGACAAGCGCAACAGAACACGTGCCGATACATCCACTACTTTGTCAACAGCAAAAGTATCCCATATCAGCAGGGTCGAACGTACTCTAGATTTGATGGACTTGTTTTGACCCTCAAATTCTTCAGTCGGCCTTATACTCTGGTGGAAACAAGAAAACCCTCCAGCCCGGTTCAAGAATAAGCCTGTGGAAAGTTACTTCTTCAAAAGCAAAAGTATCTCATATCACCTTTTCTCCTTTTCTTCTTTTTATCCTTCATGCTACCTGCAAGATAAGGAGAAGGATAACAATCAGCCGGAACTCGAAATCAAACTTCTAATCTGGGACTGATTGCTTGGAGCTCTGATTGCTTACCTTGTCTGTCACCTCTTTCAGCAGATCCCCTAGCTCGGCGACTTGGGGGACTCCTACTACATGGTTTGTATCGCGCTTGACCAAGCCTGAAACTACAAGTAAGCGTCAAGTGAAATTGATACATTACCTTGTGCATCTCCACCAGTTAAAGATACCACCCCTGGAGGGAGGAAGAGTACTTCCAAAGAAGAGGCCACATCTACCTATGAGACAGATAAGGCAAGTGAAGACGATACCACACTTCAGTACTTAAAAGCTTCGTGATTACGAGATCATTCTTCCACAATATTTCCTAATGTCATTTGTACTAAATCATTCACTTGTACTCACTAAAGGAGAGCTTGAACCTATATATTGTGTAAACCCTTCACAATTAATGAGAACTCCTTTACTCCGTGGACGTAGCCAATCTGGGTGAACCACGTACATCTTGTGGTTGCTTCCTGTCTCTATCCATTTACATACTTATCCACACTAATGACCGGAGCAATCTAGCGAAGATCACAAACTTAATATTTAAGATGATATTCTTTGGCGTATGCTTTTTGCAAACGATATAGTGTTGATAGATGAAACGCAGGAAGGGGTAAACGCGAAGCTTAACCTTTGGAGAGAAGTGTTGGAATCTAAAGGTCCTCGCCTAAGCCGATCAAAGACAGAATATATGGAGTGCAAGTTCAGTGCAAACGGAGGCCAAAATGAGTTAGGGGTGAGGATCGAAGATTAGGAAATACCAAAGAGCGACCGTTTTCACTACCTAGGATCTATCTTGCAAAAGAACAGAGAATTTGATGGAGATCTCACCCATAGAATACAAGCTGGATGGATGAAGTGGAAGAGTGCATCCGGCGTGTTGTGTGACCGTCGTAGGCCACTGAAGCTCAAGGGAAAATTTTATAGGACGACAATAAGGCCGGCAATGCTGTATGGCATAGAATGTTGGGCGGTGAAGCATCAACATGTAGGTGTAGTGGAGATGAGGATACTTCGTCGGATGTGTGGGCACACGAGAAATGATAAGATTAGGAATGAGGATATCCGAGGTAAAGTAGGAGTAGCCGAAATTGAAGGAAAGAGGAGAGAAAATCGGTTACGGTGGTTTGGACATGTGCAAAGAAGGCCTACTGACGCTCCGGTTCGAAGTGACCACGGGACAGAGGTTCAAGGCCGAAGGGGTAGAGGAAGACCTAGGAAAACTTTGGAAGAGACCCTAAGAAAAGACTTAGAGTACTTGGATCTAACGGATGACATGACACAAAACCGAGCGCAATGGCGTTCTAGGATTCATATAGCCGACCCTACTTAGTGGGAAAAGACTTTGTTGTTGTTGTTGTTATTGAAGCTTTAGTTTCCTTTGAAACCTCTCAGTCTAGTCCCCAGTAAACGTTAATCTTTATAGCATTTAAAAGTCACACCATACTTTTAGAACCAGTCATCATTTTTATGTCAAATGTAATTCATTTGCGCTGTCCTTATTTTTTTGCTTTCCTAATTTTTTTCATGTCATATGTATTCGTTATGTGTAGTTATTTTTGAATTAATTATGCAGAGTAAAGCAAACAAAACTGTTATACGTTGTACATTGAAGCAAAATAGATGGTGATAATTGTTCTAAACCAGACATCTATTGAGGAAGTAAGTTATGGAATATTGATGGACAGACAAGTAATTAGAAAATTTTTCCATGGACCTGGCCGTATCCTTTTCCTTGGTGAAATCATTAACTGATTCTGATTAAATTCAGTCAAGTTTTCATGGAGCTGGGGGAATTATCGTACCACCGGTTGCTTCCACTTCAGGAGTTTCATGGCAGAAGCAGTTGAAAGAGATGCAGTTTCGAGTCTAAAGGCGAACTGCAGGAGCCAACCCTAGCCACAATATCTATGGATGTATGTATTTTTTTTATACAACAGCAATCAATGAAGTCTTTAGATATAAGGTACTCCATTAGGCTGGAGTCTAGAGTGCTCTTCTGTATATAAAACATGTTGAATCAATTCTGTTGGTTTATACATATTATTATTAGTGACTTCATTGTTATCAGCTTTCCTAGTTTAGCTCAACTGCCTCATTGTTTGTTTTGACTCAAAACTGCAATGGTAATGGTAGGCTATGTCAAAGACACTTTTCTCTTTTTGAAAGCCTCCTTTGTCTGTCATTGACCAAGAAATAAACACCGACTGACGGTCCGTTGTTGAATTCAATTAGGAAAAGAATCTCACAGTAGTCACAGTGGTTGAAACTCTTTCTGATCTAATTAGTTGAATACATCAACCATATGAACTCAAATTCCGTTTTGGCAACTCAAGCCCCTCTCTTTCTTGTTGGATTAATGATGAAATATTGTTGGTGCAGGAAAGCATATTTTGGTGCAGGAAAGACGAATGATGTTGGAAATTTGAGTTGCTACAGCAGAGATCTTGTATTTCTTATTTTCTGATGATTACAATTGATAAGCCAAAGGCTTTATAAAGAAAATAAAAAAGACGAGAGTTCTTACTAGACAACTGAACAGACATAGCTTAGGAACTTTAATACACTAACTTGCTGGAAATGTCTAGACTCTTAACGTTAAAGTTCCTGGGAATAAGGAAGTGCATTAATTCCAACATCCCTATAGAAATATGGCCTATGGTAAATTTGATATACATGTATAGAAAAATTTTAGGGGGAAAACTAGTAAAGGTAACAGGTACAATGATACAGTTTTGCTGGCATTTTGCCCACGTTTGAAGCAAGAATAAAATCAGTGGTTCTCAGAGATACAAAAGCCATTTCGGCTGAAACCATACAATTCAAAAGCTTTAGCTGTTTAGTTCTGCTCATTTTTACTATTATGCAGATCAATGCGTCTTAGCTGAACTAGTAGCCACTACATAGGCTGCAAATTGCAGTCCAAGTTTCAAAGAAATCTTGCCCCTGAAGCGGATTGAATTAGAAAGGTTGTGTCCTTTTTTCCACTGTTGTATTTACAAATGCACCTAATCTTCAAAAGCAGTCTAACAAGTGAAACACCAATGCTCTTAATTGAAATTCACCATTTCGATGGTTTTAGTAAGTATTGTGTTGAAGTATTCTTCCTGATATGGCTGTTGCAAGTGCTTTCGTGAAATCGGGATCCTTCGTCAAGGAAGAAGCCATCTGCTCAACCAAAAATTTGCGAACTTCAGGTGTTTCAGTTCTTGTTTTTGTGCCCTCGGCATCAGCAGTACTGGACTTGGATTTGGTTAAGTCAAGAGTAATTGTAGGTCCAGATGAACCAAGGGAGGTTGAGTAAGGGACCGATCCTATGGTCATGCAGCGGTTTGAGCCCGATGTTGCTTCAATTTGGGAAGGGTTGGGGTGGTTGTGTTCACCTTCATAAGTTCCCACCAAAATAGATTGGTCCTCAACACTTCTTTGAACCTGAAGAGAAAATTATGGAAAAAAATTAACATTTAATTAATAAGAAAAATAAAAAGCAAATTTGACTCCGTCTATTTACAATAAGTTTTAAGCAAAAAAGAAGGAACGTTAAGGAATTTGGACTCACCTTCTTTTTGACAGGGCAGCTTGGAGCAAAAGAGCATTTGAAGTAAGCTCTAGGACAAGGATTATCCCTCGTAACTTTTTGGCCATATTTCCTCCATTGATATCCATCTTTCACAACCTATAAAATGCACATAAAATTCCTCAATACAACACCTTGAATAAATAAAATGAGTTCACTGTAAGTATGTGACATTGACTATGGATTGAGGACTAACTAATTACCAGGCTTGTCGTATCAGATGCTTCGGTCCGGACATAAATCCTTGAAACCTTTGCCTTGATGGTCTCTTCCCTTGGTTTCTTGAACGATTCGCCATCACTGGAGCTGCTTTCGGAGTTTCCATTCACTGCTCCATTCATGATATTGTTACTGTTGGTGTTGTTGTTGCTGCTTTCAGACTTTCTTTTCTTTGAAATTGGGCTAAGCTCCTTCTCTGGGTTCTTGCTCATGTACTCCAACAGTTGGCTTCTCAAAGCATTGTAGTTCTCTCCCATCACCGTCAACATTTCGGTTAGCTTCTTGTTCTCGGCACTCACCCGGTGCAATTCTTCCAATAGACGACCACTCTGTGAACCAAAGCAGGCCATAAAACCTTTTAGCCATGCAACCCAAGTATTTTATTTCATGATATCAAACTATATATGCTCTGATACCATGTTAAGCTTTTCGAATAGACACTTCAGCGACTTACTACTAATTAAGCATTTATATTCCATGGTAGCGAACCGTGCTCCTAGTCCTAGACGCCTCAGCGGCCTACTAGTATATATGTGTGTAGGTGCACATATATAATATTTATGTTTATATAAATGTATATATAGATTTCATGTTTCAAGTGTTAAAGAGGTTGGATATCGAAGTTTTATAAGCCATAGATTGGTTCTTCCTAAAGAAAAAGATTGTGAAATAAGTAATAAAAAATATCCTTATAAGCCATGAGGGCAGGCCTTAATTGGCAACCACAAAACAAGAAGATAGAGAAGGTAAGGTGGAGAAAACTAAGAAACCAACCTCTTCTGTAGAGGAAAGCTGCCTCCCAAAGTCGATCGATATTTTGCTATGCACCTCTTGTTTAATCATCTGAAATTAATCAAAGTAAATATTTAAACTTCTATAAGTTCATGAGCAACTTTTATAAACAATTAAGCAAAGTGATGTTAAGTGTAACTATATATTAGAGATTTTGTTACATTTCGACTTACCGGAGTATCATCGAAAAGTCTGAGAGGCCTGGAATTAAGATCCAAAGTAGTATCATCATCATATGCAGCTGAATGGTCCATTTCCTTTGAAAGTAACAACACTAGTTCTTCCTTCCTTGAAATAATCCTCAAGAAATCTCTCAAGCTCTCAAGTTTGATCCAAATCTTGACCAAGTAGTTGTGTGGAACTGTCTGAGTTTTGCCAAATCAAAGGCAGATTATATATTATATAGAACCAGAAAAAGCTTTTGGTCCAGAAAAAAAATAAAGAGAACCAGAAAAAGCTTTAGAGTTATTAGGAAACTGGGTCGAAAGAGAACGAGAGAGAGAGAGAGAGAGAGAGGAAGATAGATGAGAGATGAGATGAGTAGTGTCAGTGAAGAGCTGGCATGAGCTTTCAGTTGCATATATTAGGAAACTGGCTTTTGGCGTGAGTTTATAAGAAGAATATTATATTAGGGACTGCAAGTTGTCCGACATATTGGTTGTCATGGAGTTTGAATTTCCTTCTACTTGATTTTTCTAGTCAAGCACGCCATATCAAAAATTAAATAAACCATTTGAATTGTGTTGTGTATGCTATTGAATTTTATTGATTTTTTTTATTTTTGTAATATTATTTAGAAATAGTGAAGGGGCAAGAGAAGTTCTATTTTGACCCGGGTCTGCGTCCATAATATTATATAAGGTCTTACCTTTTTTGTTTTTCTAGTGGGGTTAGTGACTATCAATGAATAATATTATGGGCCTTGCTTTTCTGGCACGTTTAGAACTTTTAAGCATTTTTTCCACGTTCCATGAATCTACGTATTCTTTTTTGTATTCACATTGATGAAAAATGTATATATCTGTTTTTGTTTTGTAAGTCCGAAACTGTCAACGCACTTGTTCCACGGATGTACAAACTACTGTTTATCAACAGATCTAGCCGTGATAACTTGAATCTGAAATTGGTATAGTAAATTGTAAACAATATTATAGTTCTCGTTAAATTGAACATTCATGGATCATTAATAAATGATCTAAATCGGATATCAGATAATGTAGAACTTGACCATAGAATGGATCACCATCCAGCAAAACTAACATTCTTCGTTCTCCCTGAACCCAACTTTTACAACTTTTTTGTGCACATGCATGTGGCAGTGGCATACATGTTTTACCGATGACATCAGTTTGTTTTTTTTCAAATGAGGATGATGAAAGATTAGGCAAATTAAACTACTCATAAGGTAAGCTTGTGGTACTTTTTAAGAAGGAAAAAGAAGGGTAATAGTATCTTATGTTTTGAATGGTGATTTTGTAATGCAATCACGTCCATGTCCAACATTTTATCTTGGACATTTCCAACATAAATACCTATCTTATTGCAGTAATAACAATGTCATTATTATGCGTTATTACTACATAAGAATCACTATTATGTAATTATAGGTTGTAAACTTTAATGATTCTTATGTAACCTTAGGTTGTAAACTTTGATGATTATAACCGAAGAACCTGCTACCAAATGGTGACATTCAAAGGAACGTCAATGCTACATGAAAGGGTTCCCGAGTGTCGGGTTGTTAGCACATGAAAGAAGGGGAAACCGAAGGGAGATTTTTCATTTTTGTTTTCTGATCTTTTATTAGCAAGCATTTTGTTTCCAGTTTACTTTTATGAATTGGAATTGTCAAGCCTCTGCTGTTCATATCAACATTTTTTTGTTATTCAACATCACCTTAATAGCTAGATTCCTATAATATACAAATTTGGGACGTTGAATGTTAATATCTTTTTGTAACTTCGTTAAACATGAACGCTAACATCAATAGAGCAATAGTCTTATTTAATTCAAGGGTATCTGAAGCTCAAAATAAAAGGTTCAAGGCATAGAATTTAACCAATGGGGGAGGGGAGACTATCTCATCCTAAGGTCAAAGCATACTACAAGCTTCTTGGAGGACTTATAGAGAAGGTCTTAGTTCTTTTTTTTTTTTTCTTTTATAAATTGCCCACTAAAAGAAATTGTCAATAGCGAAATTCAAACCTAAGTTTTGATTTAGCAAAGAAAATAACTTTTACCAACTCAACTTGACATTATCGGTATATTATTTTTGGGGTTATTGTCACATTGCTTTTCAAAAGGTAGTTCATGCAAGTGGCTATGATAATTATAATCTGGATGGAGTGTTGAAACTTGAAATACCAAGGATTTTATATCAATTTGACTTCCTGATTGTGGTGCAGCTAAAAGGAGACTATCTTAAACAAATGCCAGAAGTATAGTACACGTAAAATTAATTAATTTGGAATGATGATATGCTGATAAACCATATACGTATCAGCAGCAGTAAACTATTAGTAGAATAAAATCGTTTACTAATTATGATTTTTTATATAATGTGTGCGTGTACATATGCTAACAAAGAAATGTTAGTTTTAATAAACTGTTATTACGTAATGACACTCGTCAAAGCTGTTTTTTGTTGAATATACATGATAAACTGGAATTATATATTGAAATAGAAAGTGTTTGTGCTGAGTGTTAATCCACCCAAAACTGGAAGATTAATGAAGGTGAATATGATTGTAAAACAACTATATATGGACTTTTTTATTATACCTTTATTTGTTTTGTGAAAAGCCAAAAGTATGTCTTGGATTTGATCTCTTCCACCAATTAAAAAATAGCAGCTTTCTTTCACGTGCACGAGTTCATATTTTATGGACTTCACAAATAAGTTTCCCTCCTTCCCTATTATAAAATTTCAAGGCCTACTTTGAAATTTTCTTATTTTGGCTTGTGTTATTTGATGAGTCTATTTTATACTATGTGTTTGATCATATTTATAGTATTAATTTATTGGTTATTTTGTGTGAATTTTGATATTTTGATTTATATTTTCAATATAAGACATTTGACTTCCTCTTGAGCAAAAAATATTCAAAATGACGAATTTTGGAGTAATTCTAATTGAAGGATGTTCGTGAGTTTTTCTACTTATTTGTGTCAAAGTTTCATATTTTTTTTACTAAGCGGATAATTTATGGTGATGAAATAAAAGAGTAGCGTACAATGCTGTCGAAGTGATGTTTTGGGCTTTTTTGGGCTTTTTGGTGTTTAAGATGATGGTTTTTTTGTTTGAGACTTTCTGCAGTCAGGACATCTCAAATTTTAATTCAAGTGGTGGCTATTTTATAGCTAGGCAGATTTCCCAAGGTTATAATAGAAATATATTTCCTAATTATCTTATTTTATTACGTTTGATAGTTTTTAGAAGACCTTTTCTAGAAAAGATTTTATTTTGTAGTATATAATAAGGCTATTTAGCCATTAGATTCGAAACACATTACTTTGGAGAACTTGGCTAGACTTTGTTGATTTGTATTATTCTTTCAAGGTGTTTTATGTCATTTTTCTATTTCAATAAAATTCCTTTAGTTTTATGATTATTCATAACTAATTTCTTTTTCTAGGGCGAGGCCATGAGCTTTAGCATGAATATGTACTCTTTATTTAATTACTTATAATATTAGGCATGCTTGCATTGAATTATTAATCACTGTATTTAAACCGTCTCCATATCTTGATGCTTAGTATCATTAAGATATTAAGATAAGTAATCAGATGCAATTCGGTAGGAATATCATTGGAGGATTGTGACACACCCCGACCCAGATCGAGGCATGCTGGCCGTCACGTGAGGGTGACGTAGCCATGAGCACAGTGTGGAAGCAATAAAGATAAGGAAATGCGAATAAATAAAAACCAACTAACTAGAGCACTAGATAAGGTAAGGTGCAAGACGAGAATAAGTGTGAGTTCACAATCAGAGCATAAGTAGCCTAAGTGCAGTCTAGTAGGACGAATACTAATTATACAACACAAAGATAATCCTACATTGGTGATAATCTGTCAGAGCTGCCGTGAATTCCTCGTAAGCCACCAACAAGCACTCCTAACTAGAATATGGAGGGGCGCAAAACAGAAAGTGTGAGTGGGCAAAAACAAAGCTTTTCAAAACTATTTTATTTAACAAAAGTTCTAACCCCTCACCATAAAACTTGTATAATTTCCCAGAAAATAGAATGCATATATACATATACATATCTCAAAACCATGCTAAAAAACGATATTCATAAGTATGCCGTGCCAAATATCTCAAAATAACAGAATCAGTAGCTTAGGTGAAATTACATATCAGTCGAATCCACCTAAAGTGGCATGTACGGCTGAATCTATAACTCAACAAGTATGCCTGCACATGAGTCGGAACCACCTAAAGTGACATGTACGACAGGATTGTGTGTAAATAAATAAATACATTCTAGTGCTACGATCGCATGAAGACTGCGAATAATCGTGGGTTACCTACGAGTCGGAACCACCTATAGTGGTCTGTACGACAGGACTGTGCACCTAACTTGGATCCAAGATGAGCGTATGGTGTGGGAGGTGAACATCACGTGAAGGCCTGTGCCTTGGCCACGGGCGTGAGCACTTACATCGGGGTGCAAGTTTATAAATTCTCAACACATCTCACATCATCATCAAATCACACATAAACAGTATACAACTTACTTGGTACTTACCTGAGCGTCCACAACATCAAATCATATTTATGCATACTATACTAATTCATATTCTAAGTATAAATCAATAAGCATGGCAATTCAAAACATAATTTCATGTAAATGCATTTTCTGGGAAAAATACCAAGTATGTAGGTATATATTGAAAACCAAAAGCACACTCACTGATATGTGGAAGGGTTGTAACCCCCGAGCCTTGCTTGACTGCGCTCGTTCTCAGGATATGTCTCACCTATATGCAAAACAACTATATAAACGTTATTTAAAGCACATACACAAAACTAGGTAATAACTTCTCATACAAAGCTCCAATGGGGTATTTGAATATACCACCGAGACCTACTCAACCTTAGGAACACCCCCATATTTTTAGAAAAATTTTCCGAGCACCTACGCACCCTCACACGCAGGCACGTGCTTGGCACACCAAACGGATTCCCTAACGGCATTAGGGAATATTTCGTTAAAAATCAGAATATACCATTATAATTACCTGACGGCATTAGAATATTCCGTCAACTTTGACGGAATATTCTCCTCCTTCTTCCTTAGTTCGCCAGAGTCTGGCGCCGGTGCCGCTGCTATCGTCGGAAACTGGAAAAATCTTTAAAACTTCATATCTTCTTCGATTCTCAACCAAAATTCATGAATTATATACCAAAATGAAGCTTAGGATGAGATGAACAAAACCTTACCACTTTTAGCTCCAAAAATCCACGGGATTTCACCGAAAAAGACACGATAATCTGGCCACCTCTGCAACTCATTAAAACAAGGCTTCCCGACGTCCAAATCACTTCA